AAAAATCTTGAACAACATTAGATTTGCAGATGACACCACACAGTCTAGGACCATTGCAACGCGTAGTAAATAGATAAAGATCAAGTCAGTATAAAATATGGACACAAATGAATGTTAATACCAAGTGCATGCTTATTTCTAACATACAGTAGGAATGCTAGATAATTAGGGAAAACAAGTAGGAAGAATGAATAACTACAAATATTTGGGAACCTGGGTAAATGAAAACAATGACCAAGGTAAAGAAATAAGTACACGCATTGAAATTGCAAGACTAGCATTTATAAAAATGAAAACAATGTTTATTAATCGAGACCTTCTTTTGGGCCTTAAGAGGCTTAGGATACTACGTATTCTGGATTTTGTTGTATGCAATGGAAAGCTAGACACTAAAAGTGGATAATATAAAGAAGTTAAAATCATTTCAGATCTGGCATAGAATATCAGGTGCATCGAATAACAGATATCATAGAAAAAGCTCTAGAAGAAGGAAAAGTTTGTTCCGCAATTTTTCTCGATGTAGCGCAGGCTTTTGACAAGGTGTGGCATGACGGACTATATCATAAAATGAGATGCTACTTACCAAAACAATATTCTGAACTACTAGAATCATATATATCCGATAGATACTTTCGAGTTAAATATGAGGAAGCATATTCAGAATTAAGAGAAGTTAAAGCTTGAGTTCCACAATGAAGTGTCCTGGGGCCAATGCTATACCTGCTCTATACCAGCGATATTCCATCATTAGAACCTAACACAATTGCGACTTTTGCAGACGACACATGCATTCTAGCAGTCGGACAAAACCACGAGGATGCAGCTACATGCTACAGAACTTTGTTGAACAAATTAACATCTGGACCAGCCGATGGCGTATCAAATTGAATGAAACAAAATCTGTTCATGTCAATTTTACTAACAAAAGAGAACAACATATCCTAGTTTATATAAATAGAAACCAAATACCTTATGCAAATACGGCAAAATATTTGGGTATGACGTTAGATTCCAAGCTACGTTGGAAAGCACATGTTAAGAAAAAAAAGAAGGAATAAGAAATTAAGTTCAGAAAGATGTACTGGTTGATGGGAAAAAAATCCACTCTGTCTACTTACAACAAATTGCTATTATATAAGCAAGTCCTTAAACCGATATGGACATACGGAATATAGCTATGGGACTGTACAACAGAAAGCAACATCCAACATATACAACGATATCAGAATAAAGTATTAAGGAACATCGTTAACGCTCCATGGTACTTTAGAAACTGTGATCTTCATCGAGACCTCCAGATGGATACAGTTATCTAGACAATAAGAAAGTTTGCCGAGAGTCATGAACAAAGGCTCTCCAACCACGTGAACGTCGAGGCCATCAAACTCCTAGACAACGCCAACCAGATAAGAAGACTAAAGAGAACGAAGCCATTTGATTTAGTGCTATAAGTGAGTGAAAGTGAAAAAGCAGAGTAAAGTGCGGCAAAAGTGTACACGTTAACTAGTAGTACTATAATGTATAAGAGCCTAAGGAATATTGCTGAATATAACCTTAGATAAGTTTCTTGTAATATTTATATATAGAACTAACTTGCTTATTGATCATAGTAAATGATCAGATAGCAATAGTCATAAGATTCCTGTTGGAGTTTTATTAAACAAAAAAAAAATTTGAGATCTGGCATTATAGAAAGGTTTTTTAAAATACCATGGACCCAATGAGTTACAAATGCTGAAATGCTAAAAAGACTACAAAAGAATTGCGAGATTATAAAGCACATCCAAACAAGAAAGCTGGATTATTAAGGCCACATTACCAGAGGTGCGAAATAATAGCTATTAAGGCTTATAATGCAAGGTAAAATTAAGGGTAAAAGATCCATAGTAAGACGAAGATTTTCCTGGTTAAGAAACCTAAGAGACTGGTTTAGTTGCAGCTCAGTTGATCTATTCAGAGCAGCCGCCAATAAGGTACGGATAGCTGTGATGATAGCCAATCTCCGATAGGAGAAGAAACTACAAGAAGAAGAAGGTTGGTCTGTGAGCACACTGAGGTTTTAGTAGATCTTGTAGTTATCGTTTTTAAGGAGCGTGTTGAAAATATGGGAGTAGGTTTGATTCTGAAAAGTCCCACTTTGTTAGCTATCTCTTGATGAAGGTATGATGTTCCTTATCTTTAGTTGTAGCAAATACGCGGAAGCCTTCAATGAGATGTTGAATGGTTTCTTTTGCTTTAAATAAAAACCTAGTGTTTACAATTGGGATAGGTCGTGACTTGCTTGACTATGTCAGCAATTTTTTCTGTATTGGTTGTTGATTTAAAATATAATTTTTTGAAAAATACGTCTACAAGATCTGTATACATTAACAATAAAATATTGTTCTAAGGCTGTTTTCTTTTGGCATTTTAAAGAAATTAATATTTAACCCGGCACCTGCCACGTGGGGTACTACCAGCACCCCATAACACATTTTCACCAAATATTTCGTATTTCAAGTTTTGCAACACTGCTGCGCGTCATAGTAGCTTTCTATAATATTGTACAGCATAGATCTATTTGAGTTTGAAGTGGTTATTTAGTGGCATTCTGACCTTGTAGCTATAAAGTCGACTGGAGTGTCATCAGATCCCCATCTGGCAGTTTAAGTTTTAAATTTTTTTTTGTGTTTTTGATAAACAGGTTGGTATATTTACAGTTTTTATTGCAATAACTGATTTAAATTATTATATAGGCTGTATACTAAATAAATATTATTTTTTTTAGATATTTTACTTCACGCCCAATTTATTATGGCTTGGTACGAACAGGAACAAAACCGCTTGAGAGCTCTTCTAGAAGAGATGGAACAAGATGATATAGCAGAGATTGAGGATTCATCTGATTCTGAAGTAGATGCTACCCAGTTTAGCGACCACAATTCGGATTCAGAAATGTCAGCAGCTTCGGACGGCGAAGAATCTGTTTTAGATGCAAATACTGTTGTAGGTAAGGATGGGACTACAAAATGGAGAACTACAAGGGGGAATAGAAATGTTCGTACAAGATCGCAGAACCTTGTTGTTCATTTACCTGGTGTAAAACAGTGTGCAAAAAATTGTAAGACAATTTTGGAATGTTGGAACTTGCTCATAGATGAAAATATTCTTGAAATAATATTAAATTCTACAAACAAAAAACTTCAACAACAAACCGGTGATAAAAAAAAGCATAGTTATGAAACATGCATGGCTGAACTGAAGGCGCTGTTTGGTTTACTATATATTGCTGGGTCTATTCGTTCTAGACGTCAGAACATGGAGGATTTATGGTCAGAAGGTAGAGTGGGCATAGGCATTTTTAGAACAACAATGAGTCTCCATAGGTACTTCATGCTAATAAAATGCCTTCGATTTGACGACATAGACACACGCAGTGAAAGACGTAAAATTGACAAACTTGCTCCAATCCGTGATGTTTTTACAATTTTTCAAAATAACTGTGTAAACGTATATTCCATATCTGAATACTGCACTATTGATGAACAGCTGGTTTCTTTTAGAGGACGATGTTCATTTCGGCAATATATACCGAGTAAGCCAGCTAAGTATGGCATAAAAATATTTAGTATTGCCGATGCCAAAACATGGTACTCATTGACATTTGAAATATACGTAGGCCAACAACCTGAAGGACCTTATGCGGTATCAAACAGTGCAAATAACATAGTTATGCGGCTATCTAAGCCAATTTGGAATTCTGGTCGCAACATTACTGGAGATAATTGGTTCACAAGTGTTCCACTTGCCGTAGAATTGCTACAAAAGAAATTGACGTATGTCGGAACTATGCGTAAAAATAAAAGGGAGATACCTAAACAGTTTGTGGAAATTAAAAGAAGACCACTCAAAAGTTCAGAATTTGCATTTACCGACAATATGACAATTTTATCTTATATACCTAAGAGAAATAAAAATGTAATGATGTTATCGTCAATGCATTTAGAAGACGATTCTATTGATGAGAGCACAGGAGATAAGAATCTTCCAAATATAATTACATTTTACAACCAAACCAAGTCCGGCGTGGACAAGGTGGATGAGCTATGCGGTTCATATTCCACTGCCAGAACATGTCGAAGATGGCCATGTGTTGTATTTTTTAGAATGCTCGACATAGCTGGCATCAATAGCCACGTTATCCACACTGCGAATAATATTAACAACAAAACAATTGAACGGAGGATTTACCTGCAGGACTTAGGGTTCGATCTTGTGAAAGATTGGTTGAAAGTCAGATCAGCTAACTCACACATTCCGCGTACAATACGTGAGAAGGCAATAAAATATATTGGAGGCTCTACTGAATCAAACGAAACAACAGAACCGCCCAGAAAAAAGGCAAGGTGCTCTATTTGTCCAAGGAAAGATGACAAAAAAACAAACTTTTTCTGCGAAAAATGTTACCAACAGATGTGCCTAAATCACATGAAACATATTTGTGAAAAGTGTTTTAACCAAAAGGAAGAAGAACAAGAATCCGATGATAGCTGCTAATGAGTTTTACTTAATTTGTTTATAATAACTTTTTAGTTTTATTTTTTAACTTTTATAATATTAGTAGGTGTTAATAAAACATGTTTTTTTTATATTTTTGTATTACTCAGCCTATTATTTTGTTTATAAACACGTAGATCACAGAAAAGTTTTAAGGGGTACTATGAGCACCCCACGTGGCAGTTGACGTTTTGCAAAGCCACGTGGCAGGTGCCGGGTTAAATGGGAATAAGCCACAATTAAAGCTTAAAGTATGTTTATTGACGTTTCAATTTCCACTTTGGAATCTTTCTCAAAATACAAACATTAGTGAAAAATTAATATTAAAAAATTTAAAACTAATGTTTGTTTCGCTTATGTTACAACTTAATCAGATTTATACTTATACTTGTAATTTGATGGGTTACACATTTTTAATTTTACATTTGTATATCACTTGGATTAGTAAAAAAATTTTTTTTCAGATGCTCCCAAAAAGGCCTATTTGATGATTGACAACCGCATCCTAGACCCAGGCAATCCATTTATTCCCGTTAAAGAGAACTCCGACCTTACCGTCTCATGCGTCGTAGACGAAGGTAATCCAAAACCTCAATTATACTGGGAAATCGCCCTAGGTTCGTCGGCCTTACTGGATATCCCAGAATTACCCCTTGAAGTGCTCAATTTAACAGAGACAATACGAGACCAAAAAGTGGGTGCCAGAACTGATGCCAGACTTGGAAGAGTCCTACGAGGACACCATAATGCCACTTTAACTTGTTATGTACGACATATTGCATTGGACAAACCGCTTAATGCTTCAGTCCTCTTAAATGTTCAATGTAAGTACTTTTTTGTGTATTATTTATAAGTAATCCATTCTTTTATTAATCTTAAATTATTCAATTTGAACAAAATATAGATTGAAAAATAGTATACAATGTGACCCATTTAGATTGGAAACACCTCTATAAAATTTGAAGTTGTTAACCGATTTTAACCAATTTTTTTTAATCCCATGTAATAAAAGGTCTGTTACGGGACAAAATATGAAATATTTAGTTAAATTTTCAGGGCATTCAGGAATGGCCGGATTTTATACAGCTTTTCATTTTCTCTTTTTCTTGGCATTATCTTGTTGTCATTTAGATGAATATGACTTAGCAGCCAATAAAATCTATTTACAGGTATAAATTTTTTGATATAATCATAAAGATATTTATCCAGTAATCCCTATAACTTGGCAGTATTTTTATACCATTAGCAGATTTAGACCAATAAATACTTTTATTTCCTTCACGGTTGTTGGCATGGACGTACGTCCATGGTTTTTGGAGCATATTTCTTTTGATTTTTTTAAAGTTCCTATTTCGCATACAGATTGGTTTGAAAAGTAATTTCATCTAAAATATCATCAGATATAAACAGACTAAAAATACTGTAAGGGGTAATCAAGATGTCTTTTTGTTTGTAACAAATCCTGACATAATCTTTGTTCATCAGTAAAATTTTTTACTGGTACTTAGTATTTTTTTAATATTCTGTGTAAACCATGAAATTGCTCATTTGTTTGATAGGAACTTTCGCCAAATTCGTCGGCAAAGGAATATCCTCATCACTCATTACTGGACGACATTTGATCCCTACAAAGGAAAAACGTCAGCTGCACGTTGGCAAAACGTGCGTAAAGACCCGTTTTCACGCTACGTCTTATTGTACGTTTCGTTGAATGGGACAAATCCTATACAATAAAACGTGGCGTGTAAACAGCAAAACGTACGTCTTGTCGAATCGAAATGAAATCCAAATAAATTGTGTGTATACACTGGACAAAACGTACGTTTTGTCGTAAGTTTTATATGACCGACAAAACGTACAATAAGACGTAGCGTGAAAACGGGCCTTTAGACATCATTAGCACTTGCAAATCCTACCCTGTCGCCTAATTTTAATGATATTAAAATGGTAAATGTTTTTGGGTTTATTAATTTTTTCGGGCATGCGTATTTACGAGGTCCACGAGGTTTTGAAACATCTTTACATATTTTGGATTGCCGTATATATTCAAAAATATAAAGTTTGTATAAAAAATAGTATTATTTAATGTTCCACTGATTAAATAAATGCACTACTAATCTAAAATAATATGATATGCAACACACAATACTTACTTTTTAATAAAAAAATTACAATATTAAAATTTATTTACAGGCACGTGCACTAGAAGTTGTTATTGTTAGAATTTCAACTGATATCTAAAGACACAAATTTATGGGAGATATTTCTGGCACGTGTTTTCAACATGTTTATTAGGCGGTTCAGTATAGTGGTACATTTTAGACGTCGCTGTGCCGAATGATATATTTATTTTGTTAGGTGGTACGTTTTATGGACCGTTGTGCAACATGAGAATAATTTTTGGTGTTTAAAATACGTACTAGTTTACTTCAAAGAGTTAATAAAATTTTGTTCTTGATTTGTCTAGTACTTTATAGTAAACTAAAACTGCATTACAAATGAAGTGATTCTATGAAACTAGTTGTAGATAAGAAATTTTAAAATTACAGCTTTATCATATCAATAACGTTTTTATACTGATATTCCCGATTATATACTCAATACATATTGGTTTCTTAGTTCTAAATGATGTTTGTGTAGGCCGGTTTACAGATACTATATTGGAGGATTAGTATTGGTTCATTTAAGGGTTATCCCACATCAGATAAGGGATGTTTACTCCGAAGGGGTTTGTGATTAAATGGCAACGTCCACAACTTCCCGTTGACACAATAAACAAATATTTGCTACTTAGCTGGACGATTGAACACATTATCTTCGGCTACATGGAGAAATCCACAAACTTCGGTATAGCTTTGAACTTTTATATAGTTTTATGCAAACAATTAAATATTATCTGTATAACAGTATACAATATGTCCCACTAAGTTGAATCCATATGGAAAACTTGTTCATTAATAATTTTACGACAAAACATTATTCTTCATGAAAAGTTCTGCATGTTCTATAATCTAAAATACAATTATCAGATGTCAAATTTTATTATTAGTATACGAGGTATGTCAAAAATTATGAATTTCACTTATGAGTAAAACACCTTTAAATTTCAAAATATCGAAAATCGATATAAAGAAAAGTTGATCAAAACTAAAAACTATGTTTAAATATACAATTATATACATTTACATTAAAAAAATAAGTTTTGTTATTTGAATAAACATTTCTTCTGATTAAGGACCACATGATAACCTTATACAGTAGTCTTTCTTTATAACGATTCCCTATATAACTATAATTCCTCTATAACGATGAAAATAGTAAACGTTGGATGGTTCGTCATAAGGACAATGTATTAATTCTTTCTCTATACCGATATCGTTCTCTTTTTAGCGATGACTTTTCAGCGTTCAATAGTCGATGGCAAATGTGTTACTGGGTTTAAAGTTTAGACTACCTGAGTCACGAGTAGCAAGGTCATTGTCCAGCGGTTATTTTGTTTTGCGCTTAAGGAATACGGCCGCCCATTCTACTTATTCTTATCAGAGGGTTAAGTGACTCGGTTTTATTGTTTGGGCGGCGTGCCTAAGTATTATCGCACATATGTTGTCATCTATTGACGACTTTTCATTTCCAGTTTGAGTTGTGTCTCAGTGTGTCAACAGTTAACATGTTTTCGAAAAAGCTTAAAAGGCTCTCGGTAGAGGAAAAGTTATCGATAACTCGAGCAATAGAGGAAGGTAAAAAGCAATCGGATGTCGTTCGCCGTATGAGGCTGTCTAAGTCAAGTGTGACTACGATATGGAAGGAAAAAAAAAGTGAGTTAAAGCGGAGATGGAGGGCGGTAGCAGGAAAAAGTTGCGGAAACCTCAGCACGAAGATTTAGATTGCTCTATGCTTCAATGGTTCCATCAGCAAGATGTGAAACATATTCCACTTTTTGGGCCTGTGGTCAAGACAAAAGCTGACTTTTTTGCAACTGAGCAAGCGGAGAGGCAAGCGATGTTAACAACAACGTATGCTGATGAGACCAGATTGTTTTTTAAAATCACACTAAACAGAACCAAATCGGAAAAGTGCATTAGTGGAAAGCTCTCTGAGGAACGCATTACAGCTTTAGTGGTTACATCACACGTGTGGTGAAGAGAAAATTGTTAGTGATAGGGAAGTCGAAAAACTCACGTTTCTTTAAAAAGATAAAAAATCTACTGGTGACCTATAAAGCAAACAAAAGTGCGTAGATGACTAGAAATTTTTGAAGAAGCGATAATAAAGTGGGATACCGAGCTTAAAGGGAAAACAATTCTTCTGCTTGTAGACAATAATTGCCCTGCTCATCGTGTACTGTGCGACATTCAAAACATTGAACTTTGTTTCTGCCAGCAAACACAACGAGTGTCCTTCAGAGCCCATGGACTAAAGTGTCATCAAGAGTTTGAAAAGCCATTACAGGAGAAGACTTTTGATGTAATTGGTTGAGAATAATGGCGATCTTAAACAAAACATTCTTGACGCCATCCTAATGATTAGTAAAGCCTGGGACGAGATCACGAGCAATACAATAAAACATTCCTTCAAACACGCAGGATCACTGCGTGTGATGACTTGCTATTAGATGTTTGGGCCAGACAGTTTGAACTTACTATCACATACGGACCGGAAGAGCAGATTTTGAAGAAGTTGATGAAAATGTAGCTGCAACATCTGAACTTTCTGACGAGAACATCCTACAAGCAGTGCATGTAGAAGAACAAAACAGTTACCCGGAAGTAGATGCAGAGTCAGAACCAGCTTCGACCACTTAGCAGACATTGGATGCAGCAAAAGTACTGCATCGATTCTTCATTCACCAGGAAGACGATATGAGTGCTTTGGAAGATTAAATGCGTCTTCAGGACAGGGTCAGGTAGGTTCTGTGGAAAGGAAAAACGAAACAGACCAAGGTGACAGACTTATTTGGTAAAGTAGGCTAAACATACTTTACAGTAGTAATATTATTTTGTTATTGTACAGTACATATGTTTTAATTGTACAGTTATTTTTTTTAAACTATATTGCTTATATTATTCTTTAAAAAATATATGTGGTGTACAATACCGTGTTAAAGGTTATTTAGTACTTCTTCTTCTTGTGCCACTCCTAGCGGAGATTGGAAATCATCATGGCCACTGCAACTTTGTTAGCAGCGCGCCTAAAAAGTGCAATCGAACTACACCCGAACCATTCACGTAGATTACGAAGCCACGATATTTTTCTTTTTCCCACACTTCTTTTGCCCTTAATTTTGCCCTGCATGATGTTTCTACAAAGTTCGTACTTTTTACCTCTCACAATGTGCCCCATGTATTCCATCTTTCTAGTTTTTATCTCATTTAGAATTTCGCATCTGTTGTCTAAAGTTTGGAGTACTTGCGTGTTAGTGACGCAGTCCATCCATAATATTCTGAGAATGCGCCTATAGCACCACATCTCGAAAGCTTCGATGTTTTTTATGGTCAACTGTTTTAGTGTCCAAGCCTCAACTCCATATAACAGGGTAGAAAAGACATAACACCGCAGCATTCGTATTCGTAACTTTATATTGATATTACGATTGCAAAAGAGTTTGCGCATTCTATTAAAGACTGATCTAGCGATTTCTATTCTACATCTAATCTCTTTTGTTTGATCAGTATCGTCTGTGATCCAAGCACCTAGATATTTATAACAGGGCACACGCTCAATCGTTGTATTGTCTATTACAAGATTAGCTCTGGTGTTCTTTGATTTCGTGATTACCATAAATTTAGTTTTTTTTAAATTAATTTTCAAGCCGTAACTGTTACAGTATATATTGAGACTTTGAACGAGATTTTGTAGTTCTACTAGCGTTCCCGTTAGGAGAACTGTATCCTCAGCATACCTTATATTGTTGATCGTCTCACCATTTATTATCAGACCAAGATCTTCTTCCTCGACTGCTTGTTCACATATAGCTTCACTATACAGATTAAATAAAAGTGGCGATAAGATACATCCCTGCCGGACTCCTCGACGGATTTGAATTATTTAGTACAGTATTATTAATATTATAGTATTGAATTTTGTCTCTCTCTGTATAACGATATCTCCTTATAACGATGAAAATTCCCGATCCCTTGCATATCGCTATAGAGAGAGATGGCTGTAGTTTCTAAATGTTTTCCAACAATTTTGCAATTTAAACACGTCATTAATACATGTGCAATTATTTTGCAAATAGGAACACACATTATTAATGTAACCAATATAACATTCTTACTGGAAAAATAGATTTATTTTTCCCTTGCTAAAAATGCACCCTCCTCAATCATGAACTACCAGCCAGACTGCCCTAATTGTGACGCAATGTCAGCACGGTATTCACCCGATCTTTCATTCACGCATAATTCTCACAAATTCTCGCATTTTATCACTAAGACTAAACCCTTCTCTCTCTCTCTCTCTCTCTCTCTCTCTCTCTCTCTCTCTCTCTCTCTCTGTGCCTTTCTATTCGTGTTCAATATCGTAAGCTCTTATTTTGCCTTATCTATTTGCTTGCTCCTGAGCATACTGCCTCTTTCGTGTCACCTTTCGATTTGTTTCTTGTTCCTTAAATGTCTCTTCACATATCTGTAAACTTCTTTCTACCGATCTAATGACCCATCCATTCCGTGATTGATTGCACCCTACTACCTAAATCTCACTTAAGCAGTCTCCTGACAGCAATCCATCTATCGCATACAAGTATACTATGTGAGACAGTCTCCGATATTTCACAGTACAAGCATTTTTTATTTTCTGCATTTTCAAATCAGTAAAGGTATGCCCTGAAACAGCCATGAAGCATCTTCGTTAGAAATTTATTCAAACTGCGATGCCCGCAGTCCATCCATCTTCTCAGACTAGTAATGAGCGACTTTATCCAATGCGCTACTCTCTTCATTTCTTCCCATTTGTCTTACCACACCTTAGTGAACCTTTTTCTTTCTTATCTTTTTAAACGTTTCGTAGCTTCTAGTTCTTCGTTGGCTTTTCCCATTATGAGTTCGCTGTTTTCGTCATTCACAGCAGTATATTTTCCTAGTCACCTTATGTGAGGTTTCTATCTATGATAGCATTTCCCATGAATGTTTTTCATCGTGTATCAGGTCTTCCTCTTCGTCTTCTCTCTAGCAGCTCCGAGTTCAATATTTCTTTTGGCCATCTGTGCTCTGGCATTCTTTGT